GTGAAGAACACACACTTCTGTATGATTTCAATTTTTAAAATTTGTTGAGGTTTGTTTCATGGCCTATCTTGTTATATTTTCTGTGGGTTCTTGAAAAAAATGTGTATTTTTCTATTGTTGTGTGGAATGTCCTATAAATGTCAGGTAGATTCTGCTGGTTGGCAGTGTTGTTGAGCTCTTCTATATCCTTGCTGGTTTGCTGCCTGGTTGTTCTTTTTTTTTTTTTTTTAACACTCTTTTAAAGTTTATTTATTTTAAAAAAGAGAGAGAGAGAGAGAGAGAGAGAGAGAGAGAGAGAGAGAGAGAATGTGCACAGGAGTGGGGGAGGGGCAGAAAGAGAGGGAGAAGGACAATCCCAAGCAGGCTCTGGGCTGTCAGTAGGAGGCCCTACAAAGGGCTTGGGTCCACAAACCAACTGTGAGATCATGACCTGAGCGGAAATCAAGAATTGGATGCTTAACCAACTGAGCCACCCAAGTGCCCCACTGCCTAATTGTTCTACCAGTTATTGAGAGATGCTGTAGTCTTCACTTATAATTGTGGATTTGTTATTTTTTATTTCAGTTCTGTCAGTTTTTGCTTTCCATATTTTGCTGTGTTGTCTCATGCATACATATTTACAATTGTTGTATTTTCTTGGTAGATTGACACTTCTTGGTAGATTGACACTCTCTTTGTAATTTTCTTTGCTCTGAAGTCTACTTTACTTGATAATGATGTAGCCACTCTTGCTTTCTTTTGAATAATGTTGGAAGCATATCTTTTTCCATTACTTTCAATATTTTGAGCAAAGGTATCCCAAATTTCTTAACCATAGTTTTGACCATAGTTAATTCTTTTGAAAATATTTCAGGAGTGGTAGTAGTTAAAATTTAACTTTGGATTATATTTAGCTTCCTAGGAGTATTTTACCTAGAGCAAATTCAATAAAGAAGAAAATATTTTTCACAAGTAGGAAAAAATGTGCAGGGAACTTGAATTTTTAACTTGTATACAGTAAGGAAAAGGTAACTTTAAATGATCACATAAGTATATGTATAAACACCTAATGGATACAAAGTCACCCACTGTGTGTTAGTAACCAAATATGAGGAAAATATACTTAAACCTTATTTATCTTTTTTATTTAGAGCTGAGCTAATGTTTTTGTTTAATCAAAATGTTCTTACATGGCAAATGACCCATGTAAGAGAATTCTGAAAAAAGATACATAGAAGATGTGATCATTGGTATCTAGTGTTGGAAATCTCCACAGATACAAACTCAATCAATACTGTTTGATTATTGTCATGTAGTAACAGACTTTATTTTCTTAGACTTTCACAAAATAAAATAAGTATGTGACGAAGAGAGGCTCAGCATTCCTACTTTGTCCTTGATAAATGTAACTCCTTTCTGTTATCATTCAAGGCCAAAATGTTGAGTCCTGGCTCTTGAGAATCTTTTGTCCTCTGGCAACATCTCTTTGTTCTACTCTCCAGCACAGAGCATGCTGTTCGGGTACACTAAATCTAACAGAGGAAATTTTAGGTGTAAACAATATATATTTGCATATTTGAGATAGAACACTGACATGTTTTCACATTATGACATTCTATTTCTGGGAACATGGTTAAAGCAGCATTTTTTTTTCTGGAATTTTCTTGACATGATTCATCTTCCCTTCCTCTTATTAAAAAAAATTAGATTACCATCCCTCCAACTGGACTGATGCTTTGGCTTATGATTCTTCAGGATTTGAATACCTAACACTTGAACATAGAGCTCACTCCATGTCAGGCACTGTATTAAACACATTACACACACTATCTCTTTAATTTTATGATGTCATTGCAAGAATATTACCCCAATATAAAGTTGAGATAATAATAAAAAGATGAGAAGACTGGTTTCAAAGAAGTTGAAAGGTAACTTGCGGGCATTCATGCTGCTACTAAGTTCTTGAGCCTGCATTGGAATCTATGTTGGCCTGACTCCCCAGTTACCTTCCTACCACTATACTAATCCATGTTATACTATCAGTTCCAGAACTATTACTTTAACCTACTAGTCTTTGAAGAAAAATAGGTCTTTGTGATTTGGCCACCAGATAAGTACTATATGCCTAACTTAGCTAATGTCCCTATAGCTCATTGTCCAGGCATCCTGTGTTTTCTGCAGCTTCTCTCTCCTCTTTCTCTCTGCTTCTATATCCTGCTCAAAATTTCTCTGTCCCTAATGTTAGATTAGTGGATTTAAACGTTCTGTCTTCTCTTCCTCCTTTCTTCTAAATACCTTTCCTCTACAATTCTTAAGATTCTTATATAGCTTTTGGGGCGCCTGGGTGGCGCAGTCGGTTAAGCGTCCGACTTCAGCCAGGTCACGATCTCACGGTCCGTGAGTTCGAGCCCCGCGTCGGGCTCTGGGCTGATGGCTCAGAGCCTGGAGCCTGTTTCCGATTCTGTGTCTCCCTCTCTCTCTGCCCCTCCCCCGTTCATGCTCTGTCTCTCTCTGTCCCAAAAATAAATAAACGTTGAAAAAAAAAATTAAAAAAAAAAAAGATTCTTATATAGCTTTCATATGTTCATATGAGAAACTCAGTATAAATGCACATGTTAAAATACAATTGTCATTTTAAAGGAAATTTTGCTTATTGCTTTTCTTGCTATTTACTGCTTTCCTTAAACAGTTGTCTGGCTTAGGAACCTTCCATTTATATACTTCAGTATATAATTTTTAGAGTTTTCAAACCAGGACCCAAGATAGTTACCATCACTATAGAGTAGAGAAATATACTGAATACTAAACAAATGTTATATTCTTCCTACTTAACAATACTAAATAAATTTTTGTCAATAACTACTTTTTGCATGTCTATATGTCAGGTACCACCCTAAACACTACTACCTTTTACTCTTCCACCCAAATCTTTTTAGGTAAAAGAATATTTTAAAAAATTAAAAAAAATATATTGTAGCGAGAGCAAGAGTGCACAACCAGGGGAAAGGAGCAAAGGGACAGAGACAGAGAAAGAGAGAAGAGAGAGAGAGAGAGAGAGAGAGAGAGAGAGGGAGAATCTTAAGCAGGCTCCTGACTTGGGGCTCAATCCCATGACTCTGGGATCATGACCTGAGCTGAGATCAAGAGTTGGATGCTCAACTGCCTGAGCCACCTAGGCACCCCAAAGAACATTTTTTAATATTAAAAATAAGTTTTCTCAGTATAATAATATAGAAACCCATTTTAGAAAAATAAAAAATACAAACAAAGAAGACTTAGGAAATATACACCAGCAATACTTTCAATACTTTGATGTATATCCTTCCAATTTTTATCTATATTTTTGAACTGTTAAATTTTTTTCAATTAACACCATGTAATAAACATTCTTCTATGTTTATCATTGCTAAACGATTAATTTTGTGGGTGTACAGCATAGTTTTAAAAACAGTTCAATGTTGAATTCAGCCTATTGCTAGCTTTATGTAATTATATGTGAAGACTATGTTGAATGCCATTGTAGGTATTTCTGTCATATATCCTTAGGCAGTTTTTTAGTCTTAGAAATAGCATTTCTAAGGGACTGGTGGACATTTTCTAGATCTCAAAGAATTATCATTTAGTTAAAAGTTTGTAGTCTTTGCGTTCTAAGGAGGTCCTTCGTATGTGAAATTTAACATAATTAACCAGTTAGCTAAAACCTTAATTCTTGAAAAGCATGTCTCCTCCATTCACTGATGGAATACTTGACAGGGGGATGCAAAAATGAATAAAACCTTGTGCAGTGCAAGCAATAATTTACTGTAATATGCAGATTTGTTATCAAATAGAATACAATGTGCTTAAAATCTGTACTGGATGGATGCACTAAGACCCTTAGGCTGTGTTGAGAGCCTAAGGTAGTGTACAAAACAGTGGTTACTTGCAACATTTCTTAATGAGAAAATAATGTATTTTTTATTAAGTATTTGGTGGTTGAGGAACAATACAACCCACCACCTCTCTTCCTTGATTACTCATGTTTCTCACTCAGAAGGCAGCGTGCACAGTTTGCTTACTTTTAGCATGTAAATTTGGAGGCAATGTACCGAAGTAGAAGAAATTTAGAAATGACTGATACAGCTAACATGGGAAGACCAAAAAAAAAAAAAAAAAAAAAAAATCACACTAACGGACAACTTTCCTGAGAAAACAAACAAGATGTCACTTGGGATAACCATAACGTCAACACTACGGTGTCATGCCATAAGCGGAGGCGGTACAAGTGTTAAAGTCAGCACAGGCCTCCACGTTTCAACAGACGCCGCAAAACCTGGGCAAGTTTTCAGGGGGTGACACCGACCCCCGGCCAGGCCCAGAAGACAGGGCAGATGAGGACAGCCGTTAGGAACTGCGTTCGCGTCACGCCGGGGAGCCGACGCACAAAGCTACGTCCCCAAGCTCTCCCTCGGGGCCCCGCCCACTCCTCGTCCTAGAGCCTGCTGGGGGCCCAGAGGGGGCGTGGCCAAGGGTGAGGAGAGGAGACCGCGCAAGCGCACTCAGAACCGAGTCAATTAGCCAACTATTAATCTCGCGAGGGTTGAAAGTCGGTGGCGTAGGTAGTTGTCCTGGATGCTGGCGAGATAGATGATTTCTACCAGAGGAAGAAAAGGAGGCGGCGAAACTAGTTCCTCGCGTCGGTCTCTTTCGCTTTCCTTTCCCCTTACCCAACCCTCCGCCCTCCCGTAAATTAACCCGCCTTCCCTGACCTCGGTGACCCAGGTGGCCCCGCCCACTCTCGTCGACGTGATTCCCGCCGTGAGGTAAGCGCCGGTCGAATCCCGAGCCCCGCGGAAGAGGAGGAAGACGAGACCGGGAGGCTGCTGGGCAGGGCTTAGGCTCTTAGCTGAGCCGCGGCGCAGGGGCGCATTCGGGTGGTCCTCTCGCGCTTCCGTCAGCTCGTTGCGACGTAGCCACCCAGGCCTAGGCCTCCTCATCTCTGCCGGGCCTCTGGCAGCAGCGGGTGACGCAGACGGAACATCATGTCGTCCGCGGCCGAGCCTCCGCCACCCCCGCCTCCCGAGAGCGCGCCTTCCAAGCCAGCAGCCTCGGCCGCCGGCAGCGTGAGCAACAGCAGCAACAAAGGCGGCCCCGAGGGTGTCGCGGCCCAGGCGGCTCCCTCTGCGGCCAGCTCCGGCCCCGCGGACTCCGAGATGGAGGTGAGGGTGGCTTGTGGCGCGGGGAGAGCGTGCAGGGGGGCGAGGAGCTGGTTCCCTCGCCCAGATTTTAGTGCTCAGACGCAGAGCAGTACTCCACCCCTTCGGCACTCAAACTCGGCCTCAGACCCTTTGGAACCGGAATGATTCTTTCACCCTTTCACCCTTGCGCCCTTGTGCTTAACCTACCCACGCCGACTCCTATGGATTTCTGGCATTTCACATTTACATTACTTATCTCTTTAGCGGACCTTGCCAAATCCTCGAACCCTTTTATTAAACAGATGTTAGTGATTACTGAGGCAGAGAGGGATCTACCCGTTTTTGGTTTTTTGTTTTTTTTTTTTGTTTTTTCCCGGTAGACTCCCATAATTCCTTGGCCCATCCGATTCTTGGTTTTAGTTTCCACTAAACTTGCGGGATGGGCGAGGGAGATGCCCCTTAGTAGTCAGGGAAGGATGCACCGGGTGGGGAAGGCATTTAAAAGCTGCGCATCCGAGGATTCAGGCCTCCTTTTCTTAATCCCGGTCCTTGTGGGGGCGGTATCTGTTCTGGGCAGAAACAATGGCTAGAGCTGGATGGCCGAGTGCGCAGTGGGGATAAGCGGGGCGCAGCTGCTCCTGTGAAGGGAACGGAGGCTCCTCCCAAGCACTGTTCCTTTGGGAGGGAAGCGACCGAGGTAGCAGCAGCCGTCGTAGACGCCCATTTAATTTTGAGTCGGGGGATGGATGGGAGGATGGATGAATTGATGAATCTGGGGCGGTTAGCTTTCAGTCCAGCGCAATTCCTCTTTTGAGGCCTTGGCCTTTTTTATTCACTTATTTTTTTATTTTTTGAAAATTGGTACCGCTCGCTGCCGAGCCTGCTTTAAGGACTGGGGTTGGCCAGGGTATGGTGACAGTGCTGCGGGGGTGGAAAGTTTGGGGAGTTGCCAGGCGGGTCTCTTGGGTATGCTCCAAGACTGTGCGATGTCTGGGAACAAAGTGATTGCTTGCTCCTTCCAAATTTTATTCCTGGCCTTCGATCGGTTTTGAGATATTTTAAAGTCGTAGCCCAAAGATTTCTGGGATTTTTCCATTCTTAAGATACAAGGGGTGAAGGTAATACTGCTCTAAAAAAAAATGATCTTTTATGCAGTATTAACAAGTCAGTAAATGGAAGTGCAGTTTACCATTGAAGCGTTTTTGGCACAGCAGAGTTCTATTTGGGCACCCAAGGTCTAATCTAGAGTGAAGTAACATGTTAATAGTTTATGAGCGAACTTTTAGTGGTGAGGGTAGGTTTTGGTGCAATAGAACATTGATATCCTGAACTTTCAAGTGATTTTAGATCTGTTTCAAATTTCTCACTAGTGTTGCCTTACTTTTCTTACTTAAGGTTTAAAGTGGTTCTTCGGATTACTGGGGCTGTTTAACTTGGATTCCAGCTCCATGGTGTGGGGGTTTGAAGATCCGTCACACTGAAAGCAGTTGTGTGTAAATGGACAATTCTCTGCACAGTGCTGTCCATAGTTTCTGTAAGCTTCTCAAAAGAGTCTCCATTCAAATTTTGGAATAACAACCAGTGTCTCACTAGAGATGTTATTTAAATATCAGAAAGAGTAATAAAGCCTAATTTGGCTTTTATTTGCTGTTTTTAAACTAAAGTGGAATTTAAGTATGGACATTCGTGTTTGATAGCCAGTACCAAATGAAGTCCAGGGTATTTTTATTTGCTCTTTGAGGAAATTAGTCTTCTGATAAGTAGAACCTGTGGTAGAACCCAGGTCTGGCTCTGAAACTGATCCATTTCCCACATATTTTACTCTCATATTCTTTCAAGAAGGATGTTTGACAATTTCATTTCTTAAAGAATGACAGTTATTTTAACCTTCTCAGTACAGGAACATTAGTAATTTCATCTTTCATAAGTTTCTTCACTGACTAATTTTACCCTGGATATTTTTTCTCTGCATGTTATAGTGTGATTAAAAAAAATTTTTTAAGTAAATGTACTTTCAGTCTTTTCTGAACTGAATTCGGAAGTCATTGAAGTTCCCTGGTAAAAAACAGATTTGAGCAAAAATATGTAATATATTTGGCAGTCTTAAATGCCTTTTTCTTGTTTGAAAGTAGAATTTAAGGTGGGTGTTTTTCAAAATTAGAAAACAAATGAAATCTTGCATTCACGAACTTTTTTTGACAAGGCTGATCTTCCCAGAAATGTTAGCTAGCTTTCACATGTATTCAGTTAAGTTTTCATTTTTGCTTGGATACTGATAAGTCAAGGGAGTAATTCCAGTTTTTGTTTATTATGATCTTTTTGGAGTTGTAGATTGAGCCTATCTTTGCCTTTTTTCGCTATTGACTAGACTGATTGATAGATAGGTACACTAAATGCCGACAGACTAGGCAGATAGACACACTGTATATGTGTGTCATGTGACCTCAAGAGTCTTGGAGTCCAAATCCCCCCCCCCTTTTTTTTTTTTTTTTTAACTATGGAAGAAATAATGACTACTATTGGAAACCACATTTTATTTTTTTAGGGTGTATTTGGCCTTTCATGACATCCAATACTATTTTGTGAAGTAGGCTTACAGGTGGCTTTATCCTTTTTACTTGTGGAAACCAGAGATTTGTGATGAGCTTAAGTTACGGTTACACAGGTACCTAAAGCTCTTAGCAATGAAGTTAGACTAGAATTTAGGTCATTTGACCTCTTTACTACTCTACCACCTCCAGCCCGCCCAATTTTTTAATCACAGGTAGCTTTATTATAATACATAGTACCAAGCCCAGATTTGTACATTGTTAGTGAAAATTATTCTTTTACCATCTATTCTTAGTTGCCGTTTTGATAGGTGAGTGGAACTTTGCAGTATAGTGGTTGCTGTTTTTTGTTTGTGGCATTTTGAATGTCAGGGTGAATAAATTCACAAGATAGGATATTTACTACCAATTTAGGAATCAGATTGTTAAAGAGTATTTAATTTAGGATGCATGAAATTTTTTTATATTTTTCCAGAAGATGGAAATCAGCATGACTAATGATGCTGTATTTCAGGTTTGTAGTTACATACAAGCAAGGTAGATACTGCAGTTTTATAATTAAAAAGGAACATGATTTCTTCATAGTATATACTATTTAATTTGGTTTCATAATTATTGAGTAAAAAAAGAGACAGATTTGTTGAAAGTTATTCTTTTATTCTAGGATGATGTAGATAATAGTCTTGTGTTGTTTAAATCTTGGCCAGTAGCCATGTAGTTTACATATTTGGGTTAAATAGGTTGTTTTCATCATGGCGTTTAATTTCATCAAGATATCCTATCAGGTTAGATAACAGCCATTTGAGTATCTAGCAAGTTTGCAGTAGAAATGTATTACTTAGAATGTGTTTTCAGCAGAAATTAGTTTAATAATGATGTGTTGACTATTTTTGAAGAACAATCCATGATTTTTCTTTCCTACCAGGAAGTATTTGATGATGCATCTCCTGGAAAGCAAAAAGAAATCCAAGAACCAGATCCCACTTACGAAGAAAAAATGGTATGCTTTAGGTATATGAATAGAGTCTATAATTACTTAAATTAAGTGACTGAATGGACCAAATTTCTGCATTTAATTTTTATAGTTGAGGTACAGATATTCAGTTGAAGTGTGTGTAACAGGATACTGTAACTTTTGTTGTTTGCATACGTAAAGTACTTCTATACAAATATAGAAGTACTACATAAACACACAAAATAATATCATATAAATATTTGGGTTATTTTATCTCCCTTTATTTTATGATTTAGTATCAGAGAGTGGGGAGAGTAAAAGACCAGAGAAGTAGTTATTCAAGATGTGTGTATTCTGCATCTATTTACCATTGTACTCTAACATTTCTTCTTGAATAGTTCGATCCTTGTCTTTGGTCTTTTTCTTTTTCTTTTTCTTTTTCTTTTTCTTTTTCTTTTTCTTTTTCTTTTCTAAGGTTTTATTTCTAGGTAATCTCTGCGTCCAATGTGGGGCTTGAACTCACAACCTCAAGATCAGGTGTCAAATGCTGTATTAACTGAGCCAGTCAGGCGACCTCATCATTGGTTTTCTCTAAACTGAATTCTTCTCAATATTTACCTCTAGCCCAGATGCTTCCAACCAATGTATTTTCATTTTTTGTTGGACATTTAAGTCCCTTTGGTACCTCTTACTTAGGAATATCCAAAATTGAATTTATTCTGTGCCTCACACATATACTTAGTGTTACCTCAATCAATGACAGTTCCTCTTAATATATACCCAAGCTGTCTATAGCACTACTTCATAATTTTAATAATCTTGCAAGTTAAACATCATAAATACTTCTCTTTTTCCCTTATTGCCCTAATTCATTTTTCTTCTGTTGCATGGGTTATTTCGTTGGCTTCTGTATTTGCTTCCTTTCTTATGATCGGGCCTCTTCCAGATCTCTTCATACATTTTTCCAAATTTTTCAGTCTCCTAATCATTTCCTTTTTCAACATCATGGTCTTGACTAACATTTTCTTTTTTTAATCAAGCTCCCCTGTCATCTGCTAGCTCCTAACTATAGGTAAGTAAGTCTCAGTATCCACACTTTATTCTTGAACCAAGGATACTGAATACTACTTGAGAAAACTGAATAATAGTGCTGATTGGTACCAAAATAAATTTATGGCTTTTACTCTCAGGCTTTCGGTATTTATCGCTCAACAATCCCATTTAGCCATTTTAAAACTTTATTTACTATTCTGGTTAAACTTTCTATTCCATTTCTGCCACAGCCTTATTTTCAGTCTTCCTCCACAAAGAATTACAGGCTTTTCTTCAGTTTATTTCCTATTTCCAAACATGTATGGCCTCTGCTACCCTGTGTCATTTCCTTTTGTTTCAGAGAGAGAAACTGGTTTAAAGCTATTGATTTTAATCTTCCATTTGATTTTATGATTCATGTCCTTCAGGTTCCTAATCTTACTCTATTTTTACTTTTTAAGGATCTGTTTTTTCCCTTTAAGATCTCACATCATTTTGGGGCGCCTGGGTGGCGCAGTCGGTTAAGCGTCCGACTTCAGCCAGGTTACGATCTCGCGGTCCGTGAGTTCGAGCCCCGCGTCGGGCTCTGGGCTGATGGCTCGGAGCCTGGAGCCTGTTTCCGATTCTGTGTCTCCCTCTCTCTCTGCCCCTCCCCCGTTCATGCTCTGTCTCTCTCTGTCCCAAAAAAAATAAATAAAAAAACGTTGAAAAAAAAAAAATTAAAAAAAAGATCTCACATCATTTTATGTTAATACTTTCATTCACAACCAAGGTCTTTGCCTGTTTTTCCCTCAATGTTTGCCATAATTATTCTGTAAATGTTGTTCTGAACTCCTTGGTTCTTTGCAACTAGTTTATAATCCTACTACTACTTGAATGAATGAGTAGTGAGAATTTTGAAGTCATTGATCATGTGTAGAACTATGGTGAACTCTGTACTTAATTCCTTAAGGCTGTAGTTTCAAAACTTGATCATGCAGATCAAGTTTTGGATATTTTTGCTCTGATGGGTTGTGAAGCGCTTTGAAAATCTTAAGACATCTAGAGCCATTAAGGTTTTTGAGCATTAGAGATATGTGGTAAGATCTAAGAATGGGGGTGGAGGGGACCCTCTTCTCTGTTGAAACATCATGTCTTAGGACTTTTCTGGTCATCCCCGTTAAAATTTTAGTGCCATTCCCAGTTCCTTTTATCCTGCTTTATTTTCCAAGCATTTACCTTCTGACCATCTTAAATAATGCCTTACGTTTATTTTTGATACTGGAATTTGATGAACAAATGTGCCTTTTCTGGTAGATACACAAAAGTAGTTGCTGAATTGAAAAGCTATTTAAGAAGATAATGTTGATTGAAAACTTTGGAAGAAGTGAAGACTACTTAGTGATTTTTAAATACTGCAGAATAGCACTTCCCTTAAAATGTCTAGCTCTGACCTATCTGAATTAATTTCCATAGCTTAATTTATCTTGATTCCAAATATAATTACAATAAGTGAATAGATTTTTTTCAGGCCCAACATCTGCTAGTTGCTTGCCTTTTTTATTATATACATATAAAGAAATGAAATACTGTAAAATACACATAAGTATATTATCAGTACTTTAAAATAATTTTTAATCTTCATAGGGTACCTGGGTGGCTCCGTCAGTTAAACATCTGACTCTTGATTTCAGCTCAGGTCATGATCTCATGGTTTGTGAGATCGAACCCCACATTGGGCTCTAGGCTGACAGTGCAGAGTCTGGTGGGGATTCTTGGTCTCCTCTATCTCTCTCTGCCCCCTCCCCCCTTGCATGCTCTCTTGTGCAACCTCTGTCTCTCAAAATAAGTAAGCTTAAAATTATAAAATAGTTTGTAATTTTCAAAAACAAAAAACTGAAGCTTGTCTTCTATAGGAAATTATCATGGAGAGAAGTATGCTGATTTCAGTGATCTTAAGTTTTTTTGGTTGAAATTCTTCCATTCTCTTAGTGTGGTAATAGAGAAGATTTCAAATGGCAGGTGTTAGAAATGAAAGGAAGAAATAGTATTAATAACTGCATTGGGTTAGTGAGTATTTCATGAACTTAATAGTTTTTGTTTTAAAGTAAGCTCTGTGCCCACCCAGCATAGGGCTCGAACTCATGACCCTGAGATTAAGAGTCTCGTGCTCTACTGACTGAGCCAGTCAGGAGCACCTTAAACATTTTCTTTCTTTCTTTATTTCTTTTTTAATGTTTTATTTATTTTTGCGAGAGAGACAGAGCATGGATGGAGGAGGGGCAGAGAGAGAAGGAGACACAGAATCGGAAGCAGGCTCCAGACTCTGAGCTGTCAGCACAGAGCCCGACGCGGGGCTTGAACTCACGAACCGTGAGATTATGACCTGAGTCGAAGTGAGGTGCTCAACCGACTGAGCCACCCAAGCGCCCCTGGTCAGGAGCACCTTAATAGATGTATTTCAACCTGATGCCTTTTTAAAATTTGGCACAGCTTAACTGATGAATGACCAACACATTTTTTTCCATTTCTGAATAAATTCACTTCTTTGAAAACTGTTTTAATTTTTTAATGTTTTTTGGTCAGCCAAATTGCTGTATAATTGACACACAACAGTTTTAATTTTAAGTTAATGAGGTTTGGCAAATTTATGCAATTAGTTAGCCACCTTATAGTCATGATGTAGGACATTTTTATTATCCCGCCCAAAATGAGCTCTTGTCCTTATCCCCTTGAACACTCCAGATAAGCTTTCTATCTCTAGCTATAATTTCGTGTAAGTAAAATCATAGTACACAGTCTGTGTTTGTCTTCTTTCACTTAGTATAATGCTTTTTTATGTGTGTGTGTGTGTGTGTGTATATATATACATATAAGGTATAATGCTTTTGAAACTCATCTATGTTGTATGTCTCAGTAGTTCCTTTTTGCTGAGTTTATTGTATAGGGGAATGTTGAAGCTTTGATTTCTGAAGTTGTATTAATATTCTGATAAAATGTGTCTTAAAAACTTTTTGCAGCAAACCGACCGAGCAAATAGATTTGAGTATTTATTAAAGCAGACAGAACTGTTTGCACATTTCATTCAGCCTGCTGCTCAGAAGACTCCAACCTCACCTTTGAAGATGAAACCAGGGCGCCCACGAATAAAAAAGGATGAGAAACAAAACTTGCTATCAGTTGGCGAGTGAGTAAGAGTTTGTATTTCATAGTTGAAACAAACTTATTTTTGTAATCTTTATTAGAAACATTAAAATCACTTCATTAAGATTTACTTCATTAAGAAAATTGTTTTAGGGCGGTTACTTATTTGGCCCCAGTTGTTGGCTTGATAAGATGTAGCCATACGTGTATAAATAATTAAGAATAATGCATAATGCCTTAGCTGTTACAGCATTATACTGTTTATGGAATTCAGATGTCATCCATTCCTTGGAGAGAAAACAAATGCAGAGTGTAAGCAACCTGTTTAGCATCCCTTAGAAGTAACTAGAATAGTCCAAGCTTGACTTTCGGTCTGATTTGGGATAGGCCCTAGTCATAATCCTCAAACATGCATCAAGTGGATTACTTTTGTCTGAAGTCTGTGCTTGTGTATGGAATATAGTGATGATTTATAACACAGCAGTTTGTTTAAAATTTTTTATTATACTTAGTTGTCCTTCTGTAAATGGAAGTGCCAGATTGTATCCTGCTCTTAGGTGGTTGTTTAAAATGTGTAAAATACCTCTTAACATGTTTGGTTTATAAATACTGCCTTGGAATTTTTGTGCTGGTTGGATAATCAGGATGTTTAATTAGTAATAACTAATAGATTTAATATTAATAGATTTAGGGCAATCTCAGTTCTCTGGAATGACCATGTAATTCCCAAGGTGAAAAATGAAAAATAATCAGTAAATAAATACACTTAAAAGAGGAAATTACAAACTCACCAATAACATTAAGTTTACCACACAATTTACAGAAACACGGAAGTGTGAGCTATATCTTGAAGGGATTATGGTCAAAAAGCATAAGCATAATACCTTAATCTTACTTGGATATTCCAGTCATCTAATCTATCTTCTTACCCATTGTGTGTAATCAGAGTGCTTTTGTTTTAATACTTATGAAACTTTATAAGAGACCCTTGTACTTCAGGTGTATTTAAATTGTTCTGACTTGAGAAGTTTCAGCTATTTAAATAGCATCAGATGTCGTGCTCTGGAAATGTGAACTACTATAATGGGTATTTTATAGTGTAGTTAATACGTGATGGAAAGAAACACTTGTATTAAGATTATATAACATAAAGGTATTCTATAGTAAATATATATTGTTTAGCTTGGTCTTACTAGTGTTATTGGGGACAAGGAGTCTTGGTTTAGCACATTTCTTCTTTAACCTTTAGACCGTCTTAAATGGATATTTAGCTTATGTGAACTAATTAGGGTGATGGTACTGTCCTTAAGTATAAGGATGTGTGTGTATATATATATATATATATATATATATATATATATATATGTATTTATTTATTTTAATCCATCATCCACAGTTATGTTCAGTTAACCCTCAATTTGAAGTAATAAGCACATTCTAGCCTTTATCTTCAGTTTCATGACCATAATAATCAATCATCTTGATAATAGCCTGTGGGGAGATTTTATTTAAAAAAAAAAAAAAATAAGAAAAGAAAGTTAAAGTTCTTTCCTAGTTGGAAGTGCCTGGATGGCTCAGTCAGTTAAGCATCTGACTCTTGATTTTGGCTCAGGTCGTGATCTTACGAACCAGTTCCTGAGATCGATGCAGTGCCCTGTGTTGACAGCAGAGTCTGCTTGGGATTCTCTCTCTCCCTCTCTCTGCCCCTCCCCTTTCTCTCTCTCAAAATAAACGTTTAAAAAAAAAAGTTCTTTCCTAGTTTATGGAGAATAAATTGGAATTGAGGGTAGATCTTTGTATTAAGATTTATAGGGCTAAAAGGAGGAGAAGTATGAAAAATAACTAAGACATTCTACTTTGAAGCACATGAAACAAGAATATTCTTGCATATATTTACTGCCTTGGTCTGAGTTTCTGAAGAATTCTTCTGAGAAGGCTAATTATCCTCTTCTTTCAAGCATGTAGTTTTGGTACAGATCAAACTAGCACTTAGATTTAGAAGTTACAAGAGTGGCATAATCTACTGTTTTCTAACTTAAATGAAAATATTTGTTGGAAGTATGAAGGTTCAAAATTGGAAGCTTCAGAATTGGAGAATTGAAGTACTTCTAACATGAGCCCTTTAGAGATTAAGAAATTTGGCAATATTAAAACTGCAGAAAATTAGTTTTTAAGGGGCTGTATCTGATTCTCTTGGGATGTAGAATCTGGGCATTTGTAATAGGCTTTGAGTAGTTCTGATGAAATCTTGGATGAAGAGTCATTGCTTAAGCACTAAATTTCTGTTCTGCATATTCTGCAGCTTTTGCTGAAAATTGTAGATTTAAGTATATTTATTTTTAATGGCATAGTTGACATACAATGTTACATTACTTTCAGGTGTGCAACAGTGATTCCACAACTCTATATATTATGCTATATTATTATCACAGTGAAAGTCACAGTTATATTTTTAATTTTTATTTTTGAGTGTAGTTGACATACAGTTGACATTAGTTTTGGGTGTACAGCTTAATGACTGGACAGATTTATACATTATGCTGTGTTCCCCATAAGTATAGTTACCATCGGTTCCATTGCATCACTGTTAACAATATTATTGATTGTGTTCCTGTGCTCTGCTTTTTCATTCTGTGACCTACTCACAGCATAACTGGAGGCCTATATGTCTCTCCCATTCACCCATTTTGTCCAGTGCCCCACCTTTTTTTCCTCTGACAACTCAGTTCTCTGTATTTACAGTTCTGATTTTGCTTTTTGTTTATTTCTTATTTATTTTTTTAGGTTTCATTTATGAGTGAAGTCATATGGTATTTGTCTTTCTCAGTCTTATTTCACTTAACATAATACCCTCTAGGTCCAACCATATTGTCTCAGATGGCACAATCTTATCCTTTTGAAAGTTGTAGTTTTTAAAATGTGATTTCTGGAGCTTTTTTTTTTTTTTCTTTTTCCTGGTGGAAATACTTTTTTTTTTTTATAATTTTTTTTTTCCCAACGTTTATTTATTTTTGGGACAGAGAGAGACAGAGCATGAACGGGGGAGGGGCAGAGAGAGAGGGAGACACAGAATTTAAACAGGCCCAGGCTCTGAGCCATCATCACCAGAGTCTTATCAAAGGGGCCTTAAACTCACGGATCAGCGAGATCGTGACCTGGCTGAAGTCGGACGCTTAAGCGACTGCGCCACCCAGGCGCCCCGGAAATACTTTAAAATATAACTTCAAATTACAAATTATGAAATTTTTCTGACTGCGTAGTTCCTTGAAATGAGATTATCACATTACTTCAGGTGTTACACTGTTGTAATAATTGCATTATATGTATTTTAGAAAGCCATGTAAAATATTTCAGGTTTAAATTTACTAATATCTATTGTTCCACTTTTCTGGTCTTAATGTAAATGCCTCTTAAAAATTATTGTGGAATCTTGGTCAGCCACTTGACTACTATGTTGAAATAGTAGCTGGTAGTTAAAACTAAAGTGCTAATCAGTTGATTTTATCATGAACTTGACAGCTACCGACATCGTAGAACTGAGCAAGAGGAGGATGAAGAACTCTTAACCGAAAGCTCTAAAGCAACCAATGTTTGCACTAGATTTGAAGACTCTCCATCATGTATGTTATACATATTTATAACTACTTGATTTTTTCCAGAATCCCCTTTGAAACATTCTTTGGTTAATGTTTTGGATTTGTTTTGATTGTAATTTATAAAGGGAATTTTTAGTAATCTTTTGAAATTTATTGAACGTGAAATAAATTTCAGATTTTTTTTGGATGGGAGTGGTAGCATATTAATAGCGATGCTGTATTTCAAAGGGGCATAAAATGCCATTGTGTTTGTTGTTGCCTGAATGTATGTGTAAAACTAGAATGGATTTTGCCTTGTTTTTGCCCCAGATAAGAAAACTTAATGTGTAAAGAAAAGCACTTCATGAACACTTTGGTTAACTGATCTCAGGATTTTGTATTAAGTTAGTTTTAAATTTTTTTCTGAAACATTTGTTTTTTAATGGTTTTCCTAAAGAAAACCTGGTTAACCAGATTTAAGTTTTACATATGTATAATTTTGTCTGGTGGCATGTTTGTCTTTACTGAAGCCTATAGTTTTTTGGTTTTTTTTTTTTGTTTTTTTTCCTGATCTCCTTTCTCTTACTACTGGATAACTTGTTTGTGTGGTCATAATGGTTGTTAACCAACAGCAAAACTTTATAAAGGTCACTATAGGACCTACAGTTTGGACTTGTTATTTAAATTAACTGTAATTTTAACTCTTAGCAAGTTGAACTTCAGACAAGACAGGATCTGGTTAGAAATTCAGCGATCTGTTTAAAGTATGTATTTTCAGGGTTTTTTTTGGCTGTGGAATACCCAGTTTTCATTTCTTTTCATGAAGTTAGAAAATAGAGCCAGGTGTTTGGTGCAAAGGGAGAAGGAAATTTGAATTATTTGGGTTGTTTCTTTCTCACATTTCTACATTGTAGCTAGTTTTCCCAGAAAGCAGTGGTTTTTGAAAGACGATAGGGTATAGATGTGCATATTTAAAAAAAAAATCTGGTGATTATGATGTATATACTTAGTAATTTTTCTGGGGTGGGAAATGTGTAGTAAACCCCAGAAGAGATATTGTCTCTTTTGAGCCTGTTAAAAAAGTAACTTATAAAAGGTAAAGGAAAAACAATTTCTGTATATCTTGTCTTATTTCTCCTTTGTTAGGAGGAAAACTAAATCCCCAGAGAATGTCTATGGGTTATCATGGAAGGTGAAAACACTTGGTTTAAAAACATTTGTGTTAACATTAAAAAAAGGATATAAAGAGCAAAGAGAGTCTCTAGTACCAATATATATTGGTAACGTAAGAACTGAGTGATTGGGGTAGGTAATCTGATGCTTTGCAGTCATGTTTTTTGCACTTGGTTATTCTCCTTATCCGTCCGCTCCTTCTCGGCTCCAGATCACAGTGGTTGCTTCCAATGACTTGCAAATTGAAGACAGGAAAGTCACAGAGTAAACCTGTGCAAGTCCAAGTTAAACCCAAGTATCAGATGAAAGGGACAGCCTTTCTTTATTTCTTGTGTCATTAAAATGTGCATTGTGTTTTCTCTCTTATTCTCAGATGTAAAATGGGGTAAACTGAGAGATTATCAGGTCCGAGGATTGAATTGGCTCATTTCTTTGTATGAGAATGGCATCAATGGTATCCTTGCAGATGAAATGGTATGTGTTTCATAGTTTTTTAGAAGGCCATATTTTTGTAATTAAATCCTTTGTACCATGAAATTTATACAAGTTAAGACAGTAGAACATAATTTTTGTTGATTACAATCTAGAACTGTTAGCAAACTAAACTCTGTCAGACTTGCTTTAGTTGCAGAAGCAGAATCTATACTTCAGTTGTGAGAAATTATTATTTATAAAAGTGTAATAAATTTAAAAGTAATACATTTTGAGAAACATGTTTTTGACAGACTTTTGTAATAAAATGTTTTGGCTGTTTCCCTCTACTTCTGTAAAACACAAGTAGGCTCATTGATTTCTCATCAATGAATATTTTCTCAATGTGGCAGCTTGTATAATTCTGTCTCAAAACATTTACCTCGTTTACTACTTATTAGTTATGTAGTGAAATGTTTCAAAATTTCCATACAGCGATAGTGCTAAAACACTTAATTGCATGGAGTCAAAAGAAATGGGTCTTCTAGCCCCGCTATGCGACTTTGGGAAAGTCACTTATGGGCCTTATGGCATGGTAGTAGTACCTCCTTATAGACCTCTGAAGATTAAAAAACAACACTGCTGAGCTTGACACATATCATGTGCTTGCAATTTGTTAGTTATTACAAACACAGCTTTGCTTTTGAATATTTTTGTATGTCGGGAAATGCAAATATGGATGTCTACTTTGTTTTTGTTTTTCATTGCTTTGTGGTTACTCTTTCAGGGCTTGGGAAAGACTCTTCAAACAATTTCTCTTCTTGGGTACATGAAACACTATAGAAACATTCCCGGTCCTCATATGGTTTTGGTTCCTAAGTCTACATTACACAACTGGATGAGTGAATTCAAGAGATGGGTACCAACACTTAGATCTGTTTGCTTGATAGGAGATAAAGAACAAAGAGTAAGCTTTTCATGTTCCTTTACATTTTTGATATTAAAACAATTTGAATCTAGGTTTAGGGGAGGGGGGTAACTAGAAGAGGATAAAAGAGAAGGAGTCCAATAGTGAACTTGGGTCTTCACAAATATTCGTAATTTACAGATGTCATATTATCTTGGTGGTCAAGAATCCTACTGGGGAAAAGGAGTTGTAGACTGTATGATGCCATATGAATATAGTTTCTTTTATTTTGAGATTGGTTGTATAAAATCAAAGGGCATGTTCTCATTCTAGAAGCAAAATCCTTGTTTAAGGAAGTTTTGAGTTTGAGAAGTGGTTGGAAATTTGAGGAGCCAGATTTTGTTTAGATTGATATGCATAATGGTAATTAATAGTCACGGTATTTTTTAAAGATGGATTGAGCCAATCACAGTATTTTGGTTAGCTGGTGTGGTATTTATTGAAATAAGTTAAAATGTTGGTTAGTTGAAATTTTTTGGAAGGAAATAATGATACTTTTGAGAATATAAAGTTCAGATTTTAAAGTGTACTATGTTAAAAGTAAATGTACTTAATTTTGTTTCCTCTTCATTTAGCAGTCAGTGATTATTCTAGATTTCTTTTTCTCCTTGTATAGATATTTTGGGTATTTTAAGTTACCAAATTCCTTTTTATGTTTTGGAGCCCAATTTAAACCACTTCTTGCTTTACTTTCTTGTAAAATAAGACTTACAATAGCAAAGCCTTAATAGATTGTAAATATGAAAGGAGTGAAAATGGTTACTGCAAACCATCCTTGAGTCTTCACTTTATGGCACAAACCATACACTCCTTTGCCTAAACCTGTCTCTCCTAAGAATTTTAGCACCTGTTGGAAATGAAAAAAGACATTTAAGAGTTATTTAGTTTATTGAATTTTGCACTGATCAATTCGTCAATTATTTTTTTACTAAATGGCTCTGACACTTAAAAATGATTAGTGAGGGGCGCCTGGGTGGCGCAGTCGGTTAAGCGTCTGACTTCAGCCAGGTCACGATCTCACGCTCCGTGAGTTCGAGCCCCGCGTCGGGCTCTGGGCTGATGGCTCAGAGCCTGGAGCCTGTTTCCGATTCTGTGTCTCCCTCTCTCTCTGCCCCTCCCCCGTTCATGCTCTGTCTCTGTCCCCAAAATAAATAAACGTTGAAAAAAAAAAAAAAGATTAGTGAAAATGATTAATGAAGTTAGTTTGAGCCATTTCTGGATGCTTTCATACTATAGGTAACTATCTCTTTTTAATATTTCTACCCTCTTTTATGTATTAGATTACTTGTCATCAATAAATTTAATCTATAGTTTATTTCTGCCTGATGTAATTTTTTTCTCTTGCTGCACAGGCTGCTTTTGTCAGAGATGTTTTATTACCAGGAGAATGGGATGTATGTGTAACATCTTATGAAATGCTTATAAAAGAGAAGTCTGTTTTCAAAAAATTTAATTGGAGATACTTAGTTATAGATGAAGCTCACAGGATCAAAAATGAAAAATCCAAGGTAATTTGGTATTTGGAAATGAAAATCATTTGTATCTTCATTTAGAATTTGATCAGTGTGTAGAATCTTCTAATGATGAATTTGGTTCTTTTAGTTGTCAGAAATAGTGAGGGAATTCAAGACTACAAATCGACTATTATTAACTGGAACACCTCTTCAAAACAACTTGCACGAGCTCTGGTCACTTCTTAATTTTTTGTTGCCAGATGTCTTTAATTCAGCAGACGTAAGTATGTCTTACCGTTTGGTTGGAATGTTAATGTTTTTGTTTAATGCTATACATTTTTATAATAAAATTGACCTTTCAGCCCTGCTTGAGATAATTGTTAATTTTTCATCTTTTATATGGCCTGGTATAACCTACCAAATTTTTTCTATGCCTCCTGAGAGTTTACTTGTTTGTGTCTTTGGGTTTCTTTTTCTTTTTTTTTAACTTCTTTTTTTAAAGTTTATTTATTTTTGAGGGAGGGAGGGAGAGAGAGAGAACACGAGCTGGGGAAGGGCAGAGAAAGAGAGGGAGACACAGAATCTGAAACAGACTCCAGGCTCCCAACTGTCAGCACAGAGCCCTATGTGGGGCTCAAACACACAAACAGTGACATCATGACTTAAGCTGAAGTCTCATGCTCAACCAACGGAGCCACCCAGACAAATATCATTTTACAAACCATTGTTTTCCCCCTCTGGAATATCATAGATTCATACACCAAACAGGTAGTCACGGCCTGAATTTCAGCGGCTGTCGGTGGACTGCCTGTGTTCTTAAGTACTGCTCAGGTTATACCCCAGGTGAATTTGTGAGCTTCACATTGATTGTGTTTTAAGTCCCATAAATGTACTCTTCCCAAGATTGTCTTCAAATTCGGTAAAACCTGTCTAGCCATCTTTTTTTATGGTCTGACAAACATTGAACCTAAGTTACCTTTTAATAGATTATTTGCACTCATAAAAATGGTTAGGTACTCAAACTGTTGGCTGTACCTAAGAATATAATATGTATATTGAAAGTCTATGCCGTTTGTAATTTCAATGTTTTGCTGAACCAGAGTTCATTTGTTCATTTTTTAACTTTGTTTCCATGGCTGGAGAGAGCAAGAGATACAGAGAGCATGCACGCTAGCGTGTGTGTGTGTGTGTGTGTGTGTGTGTGTGTGTGTGTGTGTGTG